AAATGAAGATAATTCACCTGTTCAATCTATGTGTTTGATATTCCTAATAAGAGAGATGTCTTGAAGCTATTACCTAAATTAAAAAGAATAGGTTTTTGCAATCTTTATGAATTTCCTGTCTTTCCACTTTTAATTAATGAGTTAAAGTTATGTGGAGGATTTCCACGAATTTTTAAAAAGACCCGCCCTCTCCTTTTTAAAAAAAAAATGCACATGCACAACCCTGTACCCACTACCGAGAGGAATCCTCCTTTTAAATGTATGCGAGAGCATGCACAAGCCCATTTCTCCTCGTGCACACTCTATTTAAAAGTTACTGTTCTCATAGCTCATACAAGCTAATTGTGTCCGAACCGGACAGATGATCGCTGTTTTTTACTTCGTTGATCTTGTTACTTCTTCTCCACCACATGGTGCCTGCACCATCTTTTTCATTAGTCACCGATGTTGGGTGGCGACAGCGGGCTGCTGTGACAGCAAATCCCATAATGCTTTGCTATGAGAGCTCTCCGCACAAAGCTTTCCAGGATATATCTGGCTCTTCATTTCTTTTCATACACTTCTTAGACACTTCTTCTCTCACGACCATCGGCCATTTTCAAAGAACCGCGGTAAAAAAACTAAGCTTCACTGACTGAAATCGTAGCTCACCACACATATAAGACTAACAGTTCATATACGCAGAAAACGACAGCTAATGGGGACGTAGGACACGTAGGACAGCCTTATATAAACATATCACCAGAATGATTGACAATTAGGAGGACCACTAATTTAGATGATCCACTCGGGAATAAAAGATTGACCTCTATACCTTCATGTTCCTGAAATTTTATGTGAAGTTCATGCCGATTGCCTCAATAGGAATATGTTTACTAAGAAAAGAAGAATATAATTACTTTATCCAGCTTTTAACAATGAAAGGCTTCTATGTAAAAATACAAAAAATAATGCCTATAAAATAATGCAACGTTAGTTTAAAGGTTCATGGCATTCATATAATTTGGTAAAAAAGTTTTTGTGATGTCTTTAACTCCTCCAAGAAAACCCCTTTAAATTTAGCGACTGAGATGTGTCTCTATTCGAAATAAAGACTCCAGTGGTAACATTTCACCAGAAAAATCTGAACCATCAATTTATAGAATATTTTCTCCACACTAGTCTAATTTATGGTACTTAGCCCTCCAACCAGAGAGTCTCTACTTTTGCACTATATTTCAATAAGATAAAGTTACGTTCGGGAAGAACTTTATCACCATAGTCATTTAGAAAGGCCTTTTTCGCCCTCTACTCCTTCTAAAAGCTCCTGCTATTTACTGGTCGATATCTATCGTCTGCAATGGAACTGTGTTCCTTTACCCCAGAGAATGGGAAACTGTTAATGACATATTAAGTGCTTTAAAAAGAGACATCATTAAAAAAAAAGAAAAAAGGAGACATCATCTTTCATACCATTCCCTTGGATATGCTCATCTTCCTGTAAGTGGGATGTACCATGGGAGTCTCATCTGTCTCATCTTTCAAAGAACTGTATTCCCACAGCCACAATTACAGGGTAAAGTTAGAGCAAAAAAAGGAGGAATCGGGATGCAGAGAGAGACGCAGATAAGAATAAAAGGAAATTGGAAAATGTGGAATGAGAAAGGGAAATCCATGTAAAGGGGTGTTTAATGTCTACTGAGTTTATCAGAAATACTTGGTGGTGAGGAGTAGTCATGAAAAGAAACCTGAAAGACACAAGAGTAACCAAACAGAGGAACCAGTTATTTTCTCTGTCAGAAACATTTCTTGAGTTTTAATTTCTAATGCTATTAGCACAGTAGGGCTGTGCCAAGAAAAATAATCACTTTTACAGTATTGTTCATTTATCCACATGCCTTAAAAAATCTACCATCATTGGCCACTGTATTTCTCTTTACAACACTCATTAAATGAGAAACTTCAGATTATTAAAACATATTGGATCCATACTAAGATCATTTCAATGTATGGATTGTTAAACTTTAAATAACCAGACCATTGTTTAGCCCTACCCATCTACAGTAAGTTTTTGAGGATCACTCCTCAAAAAAGCAGCCACATTCTGAGTTTTTTGCATGTTTGTGATTTTAAATTTAAAACAAAATGACTCAGATAAGTCTGGTTGTGTTGGAATGTTTTTAAATTGAGACAGACAATATTTCTCTGATTAAAATAAAATACTTTAGTGAACATTTTAAAGCATTTTATACTTTTCCGCATTTGCATTGTTAAGATAGTATTTTAAAGATGTCGAATCAAACAGATATATAAATATATGATGTGAGGAAGTATTTGGCCTCTTACAGATAACATTTTTTTTAATTACACCTAAATGAACAATGAAAATGCCCAACAAAAATATCACAAGTAAATGCATTTCAATCTGAAAAACTCAGAGAGAGAAAGATGCAATTAGAAGAGTTTATTGATACGATAGTTTGAACTTTGGCGCTCAGGCCTCAGCAGGAAACATAAACGCTGATTTATACATTAATGCAGATAAACTGATGTATGAGAATAAGGATATTCCCCCCGGGCCTGAACTGGTGGTGGAGTTTAGATAGATGAAGTTTGGTTAATCCATAGAGGCTGGTATACAGGGTGATGCTTGAGTTAGATGTCACTGAATGAACAAAGTTTGCATAAACTGTCCATGAAGAGCAAGCATGAAGCGACTGTGGAGAGAAAAAACTCCCCTTTGGGAAGAAATCTCTGGCAGAACCAGGCTCAACGTGGCGGTCTTCTGCTGGACCGTTTAAAGTGACAGGGAACTCCATGAAAGTCTGGAGGGAGTACACACTGGAGGTGAGGTTGAAGGAGCATCGAGGAGGAGTCGGATGAGCTTACTACAATGGTGGAGAAGGGGATGGAGGTGGGTTGTCTGAACCAAAGTCCGACATAGGAGCGATGGATCTTGCGCTTGTTGAAGAGCAGGCCTAGAGATGATTTGGAGTGGCTTTAAGTAGAGTGCTGGAAGATGATTGGGCATCGAGGAAAGTGGCTTGAAGCGGGTTGGCTGCGTCGGAGGCGGATCAGCCTCAGATTGAATGGAAGTAATCAGAGTTTCTTCAGTTAAATTTCTGCCTTAGCTTCATTTTAAGATGCTATTTTCAAATTATTAGTTTTTTTCTTAAACGGGAAAAGACGTTCAGACCAACTAAAACCTTTACAGAAAAAAAGCAGCTGCCCATATAGGCCCTTTGTAGGGCACTCAGTGAATGATTTGAAAACCAAAATTTCAAACCAATAGTGTTAATGGAATCCAGAACAAGACCTTACTTTTTAACCTTATTAACATTAAAAAAATATGGGTATTTTGATGGGAAAAATTAATGTCAACGTAATAACAAGAAACACCAACTTGCCCAAATATATTAAGAAAAATAACAAAAGTCCTTCCAAAAGAAATTCATAAAAAACACTCTGAGAGTGAAAAAAAAAACGCATTTTCTTTGGAACAACATAACCTTAGAGGCATTAATGCTGATACTGGCGCTTTCATTTTTTTTATTTTATAAACCTAAATCTAATTGTTAACGAGGCTTTTTAACTTTTTAAATTTACTTTTTGACTTTTCCATTAGCTTTTTACCTTTTTTTTCTTGACTTGTTAAGTTTTTTTTCCAACTTGATTTACAGTAGGAAATATATCATTAAATGGCTCATCTAATTGGTCAAATGCCAACATAAGATGTACAGCCATGTAGTAGTGTCTTTGCTGAATGGCTGGATATAGATATTCTGCTTCTAGACCTCACTGAAGGACAGGTTTGTCCGGTGATCAAAAAAGGTTACTTGCCCTATAAAGGGTTAAAAAACACCATGAAACTTTTATTACCTGAGATAAATTAAATTATGCTTATGTAAATTGAGAGGGTCAGATCTGTTGCTAAAAGTGCCATGTGATCTAGAGTGTCATGGTAAGGCACTCCCCTTAAACAAAAGAGCTAACTAAGCTCAAAACTATTTACTTCCAGAATTGTACTGATAGAAAATCTTGTACTCTTATATCTTCTCCTTATCTGTGACTAGGTCACCGGGCAGCAATCTCATTAGGGATGCCCTGACTTCCCTTTTCCTAGACATCTCTTCCATCTCCTCTTTGGAAGCCAGAGCCGTAAGGGCCAGCAAACAGACATAGTCCTTACGGTGTTTCTTGGGCCATCCTGGGCTTTGTCCTGGTGGGAAGTGCCTAGAACACCTCCCTAAATACAACAAGACTGCATCAATGACTTGTCCTGTAGTTCTCCAAAGAAACCAGAACAGCATCTAAACAACCGCAGATCTTAGTTACTTCAGATAAGGTTAGTGTATCAATTATAATAAATTAACAATAGCAGAATGGATTTTTTAAAAAGGTCACTGATGGGAAACAAAAATATAAAAAAAACATAAAATACTGACTCACATTTGTCAAAGCACTTGATGAGTCCCTGGATGGAGCGCCATGTGAAGAATAATGTGAATTTTTTTTGGGAAGCAGTGCGTCTTATTAAATCTGGTTTAAAACAAACACAGCTTTTCAGAAGTAGAACATTATACTAACAGTCAAACAATGGCGGTCACTGTGATGGTTTGGGCCTGTTTTTCGATGGAACACCAGAGTTATGCAGCTGAACATTCGTACAAAACAAACCAGCAATTCACATCTGCATGAATAGAAGCAAATAAAAGGAAGGTTATAAATGTCATGCTTATAGCTTCTCCTAATAAAGTACAAGAGTTTTAGAAGCTTTTTAATAAGCGCTTTGGGAGATGGGGACTTTTTTTGGAGTTGTGTGTCATTATTAAACTGCTACAGTGTAATTTAATAAAATAACACAGAGTTGGTGAATAGCTCCCTTTTATTTTCTATCTTGTGGTTTTATTGCTTTTATTTATCCACCATCCAATGTAAGTAAAAAAAAAAGCAATAAAATTTAGGGGGGAAAAACTGCTGCCTTTGTAGCTAATGCTTTTCTTGGCTCCTGTGGTCTTCAGGTTGGGAGGGGATGATCGGTCCATGGATCATTTTCTTGCACAATCTGGTTGCGAGGTGCACTGCTTTGATCCCAGCCTGGAGCAGCCTCACCTGCAGAAAGCTGAAATTTGGTTCCATCGGATCTCTCTAGATTGGAGGGACCCCAGCCCAGCTATTGTCCCTAAAAGACAAGTGAACAACAAAAAACTTGCCACCATCTTGGATGACTTTGGACACAGAGATGTAAGTGGTAATGTAACATTGTTTGCATCTATTCATGTTATTGTTTCAACATAATTTATGTACGGCACGTGGGCACATATTAGTTCATGTGCGCCTCAGCATATATCCCCCTATCGTGAGTCATTCCTCCTGGATGTCTGTCCTAAAGTCCAAATGAATATCTCTTCATTGAAAATATAATGTTCCTCCAGCACCTGATCTTGCTTAATGTCATCTCTTAAAATGCCCACAGGGCTGCTTCCCCAGCTCATCAGATAAAGATTTGCATACATATTCATTTATACACAACCCAGACCCACTAAGAGATACAAGCTGGGGGAGTAGCTGCCTAGTGGTTACAGATGAGGGTAATGGTGTCCTGTAGAGGCTGTTTAAAACTTCACACTGATAAAAAAAGAAATAATACTAAAATAAAAAATAAAAACTTACACTGTCAGATTGTTTTCAGATGCTGCCACAGCATCTGAATAGATTTCCAGACTTTGACTTCACAGCTCCAAAGCCTTCCTTTTGCTCTTTTTTTAACCATTCAGAGGTAGATCTGTAGTTGTGCTTTGGATCATTGCCCCTTTATCATAACACAAGTGGTCTGTGGTTTAAGCTAATCAAATACTGTCTGAACAATGTTCTTTAAGAATTTCCGTCAAATGTGGCAAGTTGTCATGTGCTAAAGCAGCAAAGCAATCCTATATTATTATAAGACCACCACCATGCATGATGTTTCTTTCTTTTTAAATGGTACGTCACTACAGCTATAGCAGGATACTTACCTTTAAAAAGGTTCCCCTTCTGTTCATCAGTCCACATAATATTACCCCAAAAGTTTTAGAGAGAGTCAATCAACCCTTTGTGTTTTTTTGCAAGCACTTTTCTTTGTTTGTGTGTGTACTGTTTTTCCAATATAGCTCTGGGAATAGACATCCTAGAGTTAAATGATAGCCCAACAGATATGCTTTCACAAGCAGACCATAATGGTCCTAGAAGTCTGCTTACACACCCCTATGAGGTAGACTACTGTATAACACCTCTTCCCTCAATAAAAGTTCATCCCAGTGCTGCATGTCCAGAGCCCATAATATCATTAATGACCACAAACATCCCCCACCATGGACAATGCTCAATACTGCACCATGTCTTTTTTCTTCCACACTGTTTACATTTGATCACTGTTGCACTTTCAGATATGGAAATGTCATGAGAGCTGTACAGAACGAAATTTCGTCTTGCGGACACTTTGTATACAAAATGACAATGAAAGTTGTCTTAGTCCAACTCTGCACTTATAGAGCCATCAGAGTCCCTGTAGACACAGGCACCTATCATCTGTGGGGAGCATAAGAAGGGAGGGGAGACGGGCTCTCATACTTGGGCTCTCATAAGATGTTCCAGTAGATGGGGGGAGGCAAACACTCAACCTGACAAGTAGACAAAGACAAATTCACATTCTAACTTTCTGTTGAACCATGAGCTCTTAACTGAGGCAGGTAAGGCCTGTAGTGATTTAGATGTTGTTCTGGGTCTTTTTCTTACCTCTTGGATGAGTTTTGGATGTGCTCTCTAACTAAATTGGTAGGCTGGCATTTTCTGGGAAACTTCATCACTTTTCCATGTTTTCTCTGTTTGTGAATAATAGCTCTCACCATAGCTTACTGAAGTCCCAAAGCCTTAGAAATACAAAGCATTGTCCAGATCTAAAGATGCAAAAGACCTAGTTTCCGTTATTTATTTTTTTAGATTTGAGGATTAGGTGTAGCTTTTTAACCCATTTAACAAAGGACCCTTCTGCTCGTTCTGGTAGCTCGGACTGGATTGTCTAAGTTGAGCAGGATGCTGGTCGCTTCTGACTATCCACAAAATCCATCTTGAATATAAAGGTAATTGTTTGCTAGGTTTGAACCATTTAACATGGATGAGCTTGACGTAACATCTGTCGAACAGCACTGGAACCTCACCAGAAGTTCCTTAAGGGAAAATAAGATACAGGCTTACAGTTGCATCACTGCTGAACTACTGAGGTATAACTTTGCTTATCAGACAATGTTTAAGTCAAAATAAAAGGGTCAAATAAAAAGGCTCTTTTAAAGATATTTTTTCTGGAAAAATGTACAAAATGTCTCTTTAAGACTGCTTGGTAAATACATTAAATATTGCATGTTTCTTTGAACCCGCACCTGTTTTTGTAATACCAACAGGCTTAAAGCTAAAAGATCAGAAAGCGACTCTTTGCTAGACAGCAAATCTGCTCCCTATCAAATTTCACCTCAAGTTTTTATTACTTTTCTGTAATTTCCCAGCTGATTGAGATTTTACAGTTTGTAAAAGGCACAAATATAACGATTTTGTGGTTTGTAAAACATGGATTGGTACACTGCGCTGTTTTATAACAGACAGCACTCACCTGATTAAAATGCAGAGCCATGCACGCATCCTCATAATAGGGTTTTAATGTGAGTACTCAGTGTGCCAGCAGAGCAAGAAAAGGCACGAGTAAGATTGCTCCCTCTCAAAAGGTTCTGCCAAGTCTCTCAGACATGAAACAGAGTCACTCAGAAAGGTTAAAGCATGCTCTTGTGCTTTATGTCTGATGTGCAATGGGTAAAAAACTGCACAGGTGACTCATTTGCAGAGCCCTGGTGACCAACCGAGACAAGAGACTCACAACAAAAGCAAATGTTAGTTGTTAGATGCCAAACAATGACAGTTGACTCTGATAGTAAGCCAACAACATAGTGATATAAAGACTGCACAACCACCCACCAGACTTGGGGTAAGCAACTGAGCTTCTCCTGCTTCCCAGTTTATAAAGACCTTAATGGGGCAACAGTAGAGTCGGATGTAGGAGTTTGCCCTCTAAATGCAGGGTGTCCTTGGGCAAGACACATCACCTGCATTGTCTAGTGAGTCAGAGGGCCTGGTGGCGCCAGTGTACGGCAGACTCGCTTCTGTCAGTGAGCCCCATTGAGCCCCAGGGCAGCTGTGGGTCCTTCACCTATTTTCTAACTAAACAGTGTACCTTTCAGAAATCATAATCTTTTTCACACCATTTTATGCTAAAATAAGCAAAATTATTCAATAAATATTTCTGTGGAGTTTAAAAGACTACCAATAGTTTGCAATAATGAAGTGAAAGGAAAATGAGACAAAGTTTTCAGAATATAGAAAAAATCGAAAACAAATGTAATGTGCATTTACTTTCATATGGAAGCCGAGTGCGGTCGTGTCCCTCCGATACTTTTTACGGATGGTTTTCTCGACAAAACTAGTTCATTTCCTCATTATCTAAAGATAACAAAGGCCCTTTTTTCCTGTGATAAGGAGATGATTGCTGTGTGCTAAAACTGATTACATCTTTCAATACCAGAACAGCAGGAGAAATATAAGTCATGGCAGCCTATGTATAATTCTGTAAATAATCTATACTACACGACGTTGTTGGTTTGATGATTTGCTTCCATTTCTGATTCATAAACAATTAGACTTATGCCTCCAGAGACGTAGCAGGTGTTTTCTGAACAGCCCCATTGTTATGCCTGTAACAGGTATAAGATGCATTAACTTCCAAAATGAGTGCAGATTATAGGGTGTCATTAAAACAAACTGTCAGATTTGTTTCTACTGTTTTCCATGCAATTCAATCATCCACCACAACCTGGCAATGAGTGAAAAGAAAAATTAAACCAAAAAAACTGATTATTTGCGCACACGCGGCACCGCAACTGCACAACTAAAGGCACCGCAGGCATGGATGGACTGGGAATCCAGGGTTGTTGGCCAGCCTTATTCACTACTGATACAGATTTATGAACTCATTATCCTAAAAAATCAATAACTGTTTTCTCGTGATAACGAGATAATTATCTTGATATCTCGAGAAAACAATTAGTGTTTTAACTGTGCTAATGAGATAGTTATGTCGTTATCTCGAGAAGACAAAAGAAAAAGATATATTAGAGTAAGACCGCTCTGGGCTTCCGTACATTCAGGCCCAAATAGCCAATGTTTGTAGGGATATCTTTCATCATGGTTGAAGCTGCATTCCCCACCATGATGCTGCCACTAACAGAGTTAAATATGTCTTTATCAAGTTCAAGGACTGTTCTGAACTTTGAAAAGTTGCAAGAAAGGCTAAAGTATTGATATAATTTTTAAATGGATATAAGAAAGTTTGCCTCTTAAACTGAAACATAAAACAAAATCTAACATTTTTTGAAGTAAACCTATGAGAAACAGCATCTTAAATAGTATATTGAGATTTGTCCACATTTCTTCCATGGTACATCTATAATCTTTATATTGATTTTAATAAGAGGAGCTTAGAGAGGTTAAAAAAAGGCCAACTTCAGTATCTTACTAAAACTCAGATGAAATTCAAGTTTCTAAAGACACAGGCTTTGAGAGTGCACAAGTCTATTTACATAAATATGACCTCAGGGTGCTTTTAACATTCAGTTTAGGAAGCAATACCTCCCCATTCCACCCTAGCAGGCCCTGTCAAGTTGAGCCTCAGCTCTATCCATCATCACCACTGCTGAAGCAGCAGCGAGACCAGGCTTCACTTCCTCCTTTACATCCTTTAATAGCTTTTGAATTCAATAACGTGTTGAATCTTAGTGTTATCATTAAGCTACCATAGAACTCATTTATTATCTGGGTATGAAAGAAATTCTTCTCTTTTTAATCTCAGTCACTGTGTTCTAGGTGGATGTACTAAAAGCAGACATGGAGAGTGCGGAGTGGAAGATTCTGGAGAACCTGGTCCTGGAGGGCGTCCTGGACTCTGTGGGTCAGTTGTTGCTGGAGCTTCACCTGCACTGGGCGGGCTTTGAGGTAGCCGGCGATGACCCATCTGTGGTGCGATACTGGTACAGCCTGCTGAAGGAGCTCGAACGCGCCAGTTTTCGCCTGTTTCACGTCCGCAACAACCCCAACACTCCTCATCTCTTTTTACACAAGAACATAATGAATGCCACCAGCTCCTACACCTTGAGCTGGGTGAACACAAGGTGGAAGCCTTCAGGCTCAGCACATAAACATGATGAATAGCTGCTATTGTGACTTTATCTCAGGTCTATGATGACCTTCTACATTGAGGAGGTAATTACTTCCAGAGAGTCTTTCTCTTTCTAGCTGTTATATTGTCGTTAGCAGGTCAGGTTGATTCAGACACTGTTGAAGCCTGGCCCACAGCCAATTGGTGCATCTTTATAAAAAGCTATGGCCAACAGGCCAAAAAGGCTGCACAGCTGATGAAAACACACACTGTTGCAAGAAGCAAGTAAATGAAAGAACCTGCCTCATTGGGAGCAAGTGCACACTAAAAAAAGAGGTTTTTAGTTTTTTGTTATAACAATGTAGCTAAGTTTACCTTTGATACAAGAGCATTGACAAAAAATACTGGTTCAATTTTGGTGGTTTTTTTTACCATCCAATGCTGGAGAAATAATCCTCTATAAACAATAATGGTTATCCAAACCCATCCAAAAATCTTGAGCAATGCCAGGCAAAACAAGGCATACTAGAGCCAGTACTAGAGTTGAAGGGGAATGATGGGGGATGGCATCCCCCTTCTTCCTGTAACATTTTATTAATGAAGGTGTAAAATGTCTACAACATTGACAGTAATGGCAATAATATTGCCCTTTCAAGATTTGGAGGGCTGTGGGATTATGAGTAGCCTGAGCAGAATAAATCAAATCAAAGAAGTGGCCTACCATGACTATGAAGCTGATCCCAGTGAAAATTTATTCCTCTGCATTTGTCCTTAACTATGTAGGGGCAGTGATAGCCATGCCAGTCCAGGGACTGACTGCAGTTCTACTGTAAGGTGCCTCGGTCAAGGTCAATGACCGGCGTACCCAGTAGTCTAATTGCAAGGAAAAAAAAAGGGGGATGGTAAATTTTAATTTATTTTTTGTAAGCATACATAGCCTAATTAATATAGACTATTAACCTGAAGCGATATGGATGGTATGGTTGTTACAGGTGCTGGTCATAAAATTAGAATATCATGAAAAAGTAGATTGATTTCAGTAATTCCATTTAAAAAGTGAAACTTGTATATTATATTCATACATTACATACAAACTCATATATTTCAGATGTTTATTTTGTTTAATTTTGATGATTACAAATGACAACAAATGAAAATCTCAAATTCATCATATCAGAAAATTAGAATATTACTGAAGACCAATAAAAACAAAGGATTTATAGAAATGTTGGCCAACTGAAAAGTATGAACATGAAAAGTATGAGCATGTACAGCACTCAGTATTTAGTTGGGCCTCCTTTGGCCTGTATTACTGCAGCAATGCGGCGTGGCATGGAGTCGATCAGTCTGTGGCACTGCTCAGGTGTTATGATAGCCCAGGTTGCTCTAATAGTGGCTTTTAGCTCTTCTGAATTGTTGGGTCTGGTGTATTGCATCTTCTTCTTCACAATACCCCATAGATTTTCTATGGGGTTAAGGTCAGGAGAGTTTGCTGGCCAATTAAGAACAGGGATACCATGGTCCTTCAACCAGGTACTGGTAGCTTTGGCACTGTGTGCAGGTGCCAAGTCCTGTTGGAAAATGAAATCTGCATCTCCAAAAAGTTGGTCAGCTGCAGGAAGCATGAAGTGCTCTAAAACTTCCTGGTATGTGGCTGCGTTGACCCTGGACCTCAGAAAACACAATGGACCAACACCAGCAGATGACATGGCACCCCAAACCATCACTGACTGTGGAAACTTTACACTGGACTTCAAGCAACGTGGATGAAGTGCCTCTCTTCTTTTCCTCCAGACTCTGGGACCTTGATTTCCAAAGGAAATGCAAAATTTACTTTCATCAGAGAACATGACTTTGGACCACTCACCAGCAGTCCAGTCCTGTTTCTCTTTAGCCCAGGCAAGACGCTTCTGACGCTGTCTGTGGTTCAAGAGTGGCTTGACACAAGGAATGCGACAGCAGAAACCCATGTCTTTCATACGTCTGTGTGTGGTGGTTCTTGAAGCACTCACTCCAGCTGCAGTCCACTCTTTGTGAATCTCCCCCACATTTTTGAAGGGGTTTTGTTTCACAATCCTCTCCAGGGTGCGGTTATCTCTCTTGCTTGTACACTTTTTTCGACCACATCTTTTCCTTCCCTTCGCCTCTCTATTAATGTGCTTGGACACTGAGCTCTGTGAACAGCCAGCCTCTTTAGCGATGACCTTTTGTGTCTTGCCCTCCTTGTGCAAGGTGTTGATGGTCGTCTTTTGGACAACTGTCAAGTCAGCAGTCTTCCCCATGATTGTGTAGCCTATAGAACTAGACTGAAAGACCATTTAAAGGCTTTTGCAGGTGGTTTGAGTTAATTAGCTGATTAGAGTGTGGCACCAGGGGCCATCAATTTTGAACCTTTTCACAATATTCTAATTTTCTGATATGATGAATTTGAGATTTTCATTTGTTGTCATTTGTAATCATCAAAATTAAACAAAATAAACATCTGAAATATATGAGTTTGTATGTAATGTATGAATATAATATACAAGTTTCACTTTTTAAATGGAATTACTGAAATCAATCTACTTTTTCATGATATTCTAATTTTATGACCAGCACCTGTACATGTCAGGTATGCCGGTCATTGACCTTGACCAAGGCACCTTACAGTAGATCTGCAGTCAGTAATAAAATGGCACATGGGATGGTCATTTAAAAGGGGGATGATTTTAGGAACATTTTTAAGAAGGGGGATACCATCCCCCTCAACTCGATTACTGGGCGTACCTAACATGTAACAACCATACCATCCATACTGCTATACGTTAATAGACTATATTAATTAGACTATGTATGCTTTCAAAAAAGAAAATTACACCATCATTTTTCCTTTTTTTACAACTAGACTACTAACTAGAGCTATAGGGTTTCAAGGCCGACAGATTTCATGGGTAAACTAATATCGATATCCAAATATTTCAAAATAGAAGGTGGAGATGGCCTCTTTAATAAATACATGGGCCTGAGATTATCTCTGTCAGTGAGGTGATCTGAGTAATATGACAGGAGTAATCAGTGCTCCTTAAAACAGCCAAACAGCTGTCGGTCACTAAACTCATCACCATAAAAAAAAAAGACGTCTACATGACTTTTATCACTTGTTATCAACTCATGAGATAATTGGTGTTTATCAATATTTATTTCCATTCTGAAATCAGTAAATTAATATATATGCTTTGAAACATGTCTTTACACCTGGGTTACTCTATTAAAATTTAAGTTGTTTAAGTGTATAAGCATTCTCCATTAGCCAACATTGCTAACACCTGTTCCCATTTCCTTCAGAACTGCTTAAATTCTTCATGGCAAAGATTAAGCCATGTGTCAGAAACCATCCTCAGAGATTTTGCTGAGTATGATAGCAGCACACAAATCTTGCTGAGTGGTTGGCTACGCATCCCTGATAAAAAATGTCCCACTGCATCCCAGTTTTTTTACACCCACATAAGGGATAGAAGACAAGAATTTCTAAGAGAGTAGTTAGAACTAAAGCGACTAAAAACGGTTTATTACATATTTTTACGTATGATCTATTTTAAACTCGTTTTACGCTTTGATCAATATTGCTACTTATTGCATTCAAGTATACAAGGGTAAACAGTGACCACCTTCTGTTATGTGGTGCAAAAAAGCAAGATTATCTACTAAACTTAGATCCTGAGAATCTGGAGGTCACAGGGCACCTAAAACTCATTCTTAAATTATTCCTGCTATCTGGCAAGGTGTATTACTTCTTACTCCCAACTGGTAATGTTTAAATAAAATATAAAGGGTAGATGGACCAAAAAAGATGCTTATGTAATTGGTACCTAATCAAAGCAAGATCTAGATCAATGGCATCTTAGTGCTTAAACCAGCTTGCCTTCCTCCTACAGCTCCATCTTCCATTTCTTGAGTGGGCTTTGCTTCATAATCCTCTTCACTGTGATTATCCTGGTTTGTATGACATTTTCTCTACACATATTTTCCCCACCTCTGCTTTTCCATTAATATGCTTGGATACAGGATTCTAAACAAGCTTCCTTAACAAGACAGATATCCATCAAACAAGCAGGTACTGCAGTGAAGACAAAGTGTTAATTTACCTCAACTTCCAGTAAGCATAAAGGTTTTTGTCCATAAATATGCAGGTTTAAAAAAAAGCCAATTATTGGGCTCCATTTCAGAATATTGTTTTCAAACTATAAGCACTAACACTGCTGTTGAATGAAGCTAAAATTAAATGTTGGAGGCAAGCTGGGCACCGCAAACTCACTATTAGTGTCACACTATTCCCTAACGTGTTTAATGATGGTTAACAATTTCTTCCTTTTCACGAGAAGACAATCTTTCTAAAAGGGGAAATGCACAAGATATTTATTTTACCAAATAATGGAAAGATAAAAAACAAAAACAACTTTGGAACAAGAGCAAAAAAAAAAAAAGCAGTGGATTACTAAAAATTAAACAGCTAAATGCATTTGAAAAGCATCTAATATTTTGCCACAGACAAAACGGGTAAATTTTTTGAGCTTTATACCAAGATACAAAAATACACTTCCACAATAAGACTGGATGCCAGTCTTTTGCCTTTGACTCAAAACAATTCAATAACATCCATGAAGCATTGGATCCTGCACATATTTGTCTAGAGGCAATCAGAGTTAGTCCCAGAGTTTTATCTGTCCGTCCCAGCCACAGGTGATGACCTTTGAGGTTTCATGTGGATGCCACAGTGCACTGATGCAAACTTTGTCGTGAGCCTTGATTCTGTGGTAGAGCTTGGTGGTCTTCCAGTCCCAGATGTTCAGCTTTCCATCTGCATCCCCTGACACTACATAGCTGTGGGAAGAAATTAGATAACTCAATATTACAGTTATGTTACCTATAACCTACACTCATGTCTACATTTTTAAACAAGCTTTAATAAAACCTTTATATTAACACCTGCTTTATTTAATTATTTTATTTATAGTATTTAAATTAAGGTGACTTTTGAAACTTTTTCCTCTATACAGGAAAAAGCTAACAGACTATTAGCTGCTAAATTAATCAGGCTTTGTGCTCCAGTTGGCTCCTTAACTAACAAGCTGCTAATTGTAATGGTACAACCATAATTAACATTATAGATGGTGATCCTTAAATGTCGACAGCACATGTTTAAATTGAAATTAGCTATCAAACCTCTTTTATTTTTTTTCTTATGTGCCTTCTTTTAGCCAGCTAAAAGGCAGTGGGCAGCAGCAGATAATAGGCGGAGCTTAAACTATGCTTTTTACAGCAACTCTCTTTGGCATCTTAAAAGCACTTTGAATGAAAACGTTCAGCACTTAGAAGACTTCACATTCTTAACACTTAGAACAAACCAAAGCCTACTTCATTGCTATAATTGTTTTTTTATTTTTAAGCTTAACCCTTTAAAGCCCGATCCAAGAATAAAACAAAACAGAAAATAACTTTTTTTTGGTTTGAAGTCCTTATTTGGCCTTTTAACAAAATATGTAAAAAGAAAAAACAGAAATACATTTTTGATATTAATAATTTATTAATCTGCGATAAGTCAAGATTATTTTTTGTGTAGTCTTCTGCCCTCTGTTATCAGGTATATCTGATTGTGTACAATAGGATTTTGAGCAAACTTTTTACCATTAAATTATGCAAAAGGTGTCAGACGCAAAACATTTCAGAAACCGAATGTATCAAATACACTATATTGCCAAAAGTATTTGCTCACCTGCCTTGACTCACATATGAGCTTAAGTGACATCCCGTTCCTAATCCATAGGGTTCAATATGACGTCGGTCCACCCTTTGCAGCTAGAACAGCTTCAACTCTTCTGGGAAGGCTGTCCACAAGGTTTAGGAGTGTGTTTATGGGAATTTTTGACCATTCTTCCAGAAGCGCATTTGTGAGGTCGCACACTGATGTTGGACGAGAAGGCCTGGCTCTCAGTCTCCGCTCTAATTCATCCCAAAGGTGTTCTATCGGGTTGAGGTCAGGACTCTGTGCAGGCCAGTCAAGTTCATCCACACCAGACTCTGTCATCCATGTCTTTATGGACCTTGCTTTGTGCACTGGTGCACAGTCATGTTGGAAGAGGAAGGGGCCAGCTCCAAACTGTTCCCACAAAGTTGGGAGCATGGAATTGTCCAAAATGTCTTGGGATGCTGAAGCATTCAGAGTTCCTTTCACTGGAACTAAGGGGCCAAGCCCAGCTCCTGAAAAACAACCCCACACCATAATCCCCCCTCCACCAAACTTTACACTTGGCACAATGCAGTCAGACAAGTACCGTTCTCCTGGCAACCGCCAAACCCAGACCCGTCCATCAGATTGCCAGATGGAGAAGCGCGATTCGTCACTCCAGAGAACGCGTCTCCACTGCTCTAGAGTCCAGTGGCGGCGTGCTTTACACCACCGCATCCGACGCTTTGCATTGCACTTGGTGATGTATGGCTTGGATGCAGCTGCTCGCCCATGGAAACCCATTCCATGAAGCTCTCTGCGCACTGTTCTTGAGCTACATGAAGTTTGGAGGTCTGTAGTGATTGACTCTGCAGAAAGTTGGCGACCTCTTCGCACTATGCGCGTCAGCATCCGCTGACCCCGCTCCGTCAGTTTACGTGGCCTACCACTTCGTGGCTGAGTTGCTGTCGTTCCCAAACACTTCCATTTTCTTATAATACAGCTGACAGTTGACTGTGGAATATTTAGGAGCGAGGAAATTTCACGACTGGATTTGTTGCACAGGTGGCATCCTATCACAGTTCCACGCTGGAATTCACTGAGCTCCTGAGAGCGACCCATTCTTTCACAAATGTTTGTAAAAACAGTCTGCATGCCTAGGTGCTTGAATTTATACACCTGTGGCCATGGAAGTGATTGGAACACCTGATTCCAATAATTTGGATGGGTGAGCAAATACTTTTGGCAATATAGTGTATGATACATTTGGTTTTACAGGGTTAAGAATCTTTGATAAGATGCCCGTTTTATGTTAGGATTCTATGGGGATCGATCAAAAAGTATCTTACCTCATGTCTGGGGAGAAGTCTACTTGGCAGGCGTAGCCTGCTACCATGTGACCTTTGAAAATCTTCTTTTTGTTCAGTCTGAAGCGATTCTGGGCTCCAAAGATGAGGATCTGGTTGTCCATGGACTGACAGGCCAACCATTTACCTACAATTAAAAACCGGTTAAGTATTTGTAAACAACAAGCTGAACTTATCTATCCCAAGCACAGAAAAGCATTTATTATCAAGAGAAGTGACACTAAATAAACACAGTTTGTACACAACTTTTTAATTGCCAGTTATTTCACTAGCAGGTCTCATTTGCATTTCTCTGTACAGGGAGAGGTTTAACAAGCAGTCCCTGAGATCTTAGGTGGTGCGTTTTCATGCTGTTGCCTCAGTCAGGCGGCGAACCTGTGGTGTAAATTAACAGTACACTGCAAAAAATAGAAATCTCAATAAGTTATTTTTTCTTAAAATAAGTGTGTTTTTCCTTGATTTGAGGAGGTAAGTAAGACACTTTGCCAATGGAACAAGACAATTTCCTTTTAAAATAAGAAAAAAATATTTTATCGTCTTATTTCAAGTAAATATTATCTAACTATCTTATTTTAAGAGTAAAAATACTCATTCCATTGGCAAATCATCTTATTTACCTGCTCAAATTAAGGCTAAATATACTTAATTTAAGCCATTTTTTACTTATTTCTGGATTGTTTTTGCAGTGTAGAAACTTGGCTCAAAGGAAAGACTTAAAATAAAGAGGACAGTCCTCTACGAGGGGCGTGAACTCATCTTTCTCCTTTCAATAAATAAATGAGATTAAAGCAATTTTAGAAAAATGAGACAGGCTTCCTCATCATTAGGTGTTTAATTATAATCTATTTTGCACAGTTTCAGCTCTTCACATGGCGACAGTTTCAAGTCACCACACAGCAAAGGGAAGCAGTAAATCACTTTCAAAGCATCACACAACTCAATGCACTTGTTAACAGGAACATGATTATTAATGAGGTGTGAAAGCAAGATATCCAGTTAGTGTGTACGTGTGTCTAACATCTCCTCCCCTAGAAAAAAATGCAGTAAAAAGCCCAGATATGTCTACTTTAATAGGTAGAGGTTTTACCATTTCACAAACACTTTTTGTGAAATGAGGAGACGTAGAGGAAGCAGCAAAACAAGAGACCGAGGATGTGTCGCAGAGGGGGGCTTGGTGTCATTTAGGCATAAAGGAAAACAGAGTGGTTTCTCACTGAGAACACGTTCATCATTCACACTCTGAGGAAAATCAAATTATGTCATGACAAATACAAATGTTGACCAAAAAGAGTGAAGAGCGCAAAAAAAGAGGTTGTTTAAGCAGAAAAAAAAGCTGAGTAAGGCAAGACTTGATGATGATGGGCTGCAACACAAATCTCTTAACAGAAGTAAAGTGGAAGGTTTACTTCTATTAATGTTCCTTATAAAACTCTTCTGTCTGAAGCCATTTCTTTTACCACACAAAGCTGTGCAAACAACAATAAAAAGAAAAGATATGCTTTATAGATCGTTGAGTGAAACTTCTGAATAATAATAACCCTAGATGCCCTTGTCAGACATCTCCATCTATCCATAATAAGCATCTGACAACGTCAATATTCAGAACAACTGAGACAGCGCCAGCAGCAAGCCTGCACAACATAAATCATAATGCTAATTTCCAACATGCCTGGGCTCAATAGATCAGCCCATAAGGAATAGATTGACATTTGAAAAGACGCACTCCTTCACTTCCTTGGCAGGTTTTAACGGGAACATCAATTTCAAGCTCACATCTGTATGTTAATTATGAAGCTTTACCAGGGAAACTGTTTGCTTATTTCTTTCTGCAAATAGCAAAGCAGCAGCAGGTATGCGTCTACAATAAAATAAGATAAATCAAAAAACAAGCCTGTCATCAGTTTGAAAGGTTTGTAATTTAGATGCTTTAGTTGGACGAGTGATTTATAATTTCATGTCTAACAATAGGTTTAAATGAGTAATTCAGTTGAAGTCGTTTAGCATGAATTATTACAGTTTTGAGTGGTATGGAGGTGCTCAGCCTGTCGTTTTGCTGAGCTGTAATGGAAGCCCTGGTCACTTCATGTTATCTGCATCGTTGACTCTGGTATTGTATCTCTCATCCTCCTCTTGACAATACCCACTCTCTTTTTTTTATATTAATGAAACTAAGCAATTTGATCTTAATTAGTTGAAAGAAGGTTTCTCACATTAACTGTGCCCTAAATGTGTATCTCTCATGACTGCGTAGGGCTTTGCTTGGTCATCAGCGGATGCATTGCATAAACAAACTAATAACTTAGAGTCCCTAATGTCTCCTCCTTTCTTTCTCTGCGTTTATATCAAGCTGGTCTCTAAGAGTATTAATCCTAAACACATCCTGCCAAATGTTTACACCGAACTATTTGCCTCCTACTGTGATGGACGACAACTGGAATTCATTGAAAGCAGGGTTTCAAACCCTACAGATGAAAAATTAATAAGGAGGAATAAGAAAGTATGTGATAAAAAAAATGAATTTTTTTAAAGAACATTACAGTTTAAATTGTAGGAGCTACAGAAATCCCTAAGCTTATTACTACATGGATATAATGTAACTCATTTGTTACAACTAACTTAATTGTTACAGTTATTTTCAAAGGCAGAATTGGAGTTTTGTGGAAATGATTTCTAAGCGCAGCAGAGGGTCAGCCAATAAACACTTTAAATCACTTTGTGTGCAATCTGTATTTGCTGAATTGCACCTTTTTAATGGATTTCCTATAATGAAACCCCCATACTATCCAAAGAATGTCTCAACCTTTAAATCACACTAAACATAAACTAAACACCAGTAAACCACTTAGTTTAATCTAGGAAATTAAAGAAACTCCTTCACTAGTTTTGCTCTCACCCGTCTGCTTTTTGATGCAAATAACATCAAACTTGTTGCAGAAGCATGAGAGTTCATACACACAACTAGGGCTGCAACTAACGATTATTTTAAAAATCAATGAATCGGCCGATTATTTTTTCGATTAATCGATGAATCGGACAAAAAATATTTTTTATATTAACCTCTTTATTCCAAAATAACCATTTTAGACAGAACAAACAAGCCCACAAGTACAGGTTGCTCATTAACTGTACTGGTGCAATATGAAAAATAAATGTTTGTGATAAAACTACGCAAACTTACATGAGAAATGTAGCTGTACATCCACAAAATATAGGCTACTTTGTTTCATAAAGCGCAAAAAAATACATTTTTGTTTTTAAAAGCCCCTAAGGGGCTCAAACAATAGGCCCCCCCATTTCATCAAATTAGTTTTTTTTTTTTTAGACTAGAAGAGTTCTGCCTTTTAAGACAGGAAAGTATAGCAGTTAAAGTTGCTACTTGAGAAAATACTGAACCATAGAGATAAAAATAGCCCTGTGATTCAAATTATAAATTGTATTTGGAATAAAAATGAGAGAACTAGGGGTGCTAAAAAACACATCCTCCAAAGACAGATATTTACATGGGAATGTGGCAGATAATTAATTGACATATTACTGATCTTGCTGGATTTTATTCTGCTTTACTTCCATAAATTGCAGGATCTTCTTTACTTTATCTTTGCCAGAAGATTTAAACTTCAAAAGCCTTGCCCTCATAATTTGCAAGTTTATTTATTTATAAAGGCTATTTTAATTATTGTGATTAATTTGCGCCGTCAATCCAGACGCATGCACGCTTCATTTGCAGTCTGGACGCTGAAACATCCTGCGGCTCTCACAGCAGCGCTGAGAGGGATTCCTGCGGAGAGCGGGGTTGGGATGGGGGAGGCGCCTCACGGCAGCAGCTGCTGCTGCAGGACAAGAGTAGGAACGATACATGCTTTCACGTAAGAGTCTACAAAAGCCGCCAGTAACACCGTAAAAAGTCGCCAGATTTGTCGCTAGTCCCTTTTTTAAAAAAATAGTCACTGGAGTGGTCTGAAAAGTCGCTAAATATAGCGACAAAGTCGCTGAGTTGGCAACACTGCGCACCTGCAGCGCTGGCTCGCTCTGCCATATTTTTTTTTTCTTCCCCCGTTTCAGTCAAGTGGCAGTGATGACGGCGGCGGCGGATGACGCATTAATCGCGCGACACAACTAATCGATGATGAAATTCGTTGCCAACGCTTTTAAAAGTCGATTTTTATCGATTCGTTGTTGCAGCCCTACACACAACCCCTCAAAAGGAAACAACTTTGTAAGAAAAGACTTTCAAATCATGCTAAAATTAAAAAGGCTGTTGATAAGAAAACATAAAAGTAAATACTAAAAGGTGTAAAAAAATTGTGTGAAACATTAGGAAATAATTTAGTGTGTGTAAAAGAGACACTTTTGTTTTATACATTATGTTTAGAGTTGGCATGTTTGAGTTAACAACCCAAGCTTGGATTGAGGAACATACAGTCAATCAGTGTCTTGCATATTACTATGATAAACAGTGAGGATTAGCACAATGTGTAAATAATAACACAGAGGGGGAAAAGGGAAAGAAAAAGAGGTGGAATATAATGTGAAAAGATGTTGACTGACTAAAGACAACACAGAAAAGACTTCAGACATCTTGAGCTTTGGCCATTATCAGAACAATGCATAAATGAATAATTAAAAACCAGTGCTAGTCAATCCACACTGGAACTCTGATCTGTGAGCAAAATATAAAATAGGTTTCTCAACAGATGCAGAGGTTTCTGTTTAAAGCAACTAAATAGTTGAAACAAGGTGGCATGAGAAGTTTTGAAAAAAAGTTTAATGGACAACTTAAAGAAAAACTACGACAGTACCACTGTCTACTTACACTGGCCCATTTTAAAGCATTGCAAAACTTGAATTAGCTCAGTTTTACTCCCGTTAGCAATGGCCAACCTTTGGCGGTATTAACTTACTTCAGTGTTATAATTCATTTTTGTATTCCCTTGAGTCCTTTGCTCTGTGCACCAGCATATGTTTATTATTTGGCAAAAATCAAGCCACTCACCATTGGGAGATAGCGTCACAGCAGGCATTGAGTGCATACTGGGCTCAGCGATGTACTTGAAGTCCACAGGGATGTCCCTGGAAAAGACACACAGCACAGCGATCCCACATGAAGATGCATTAAACACACGGTTCAGAGAACCTATTCAGGATCTGTAACCCCATAAGGAAAACATTAATAAACATTGCTGTTCATCATGTGAGTTAGAAAATACTTAACACTGTGAACTGTGTGCTGTGGAAAGATGCTTTTAATATTAAACCATGTCTGTACCACATACCAATTAATTACCCATCTGTTGCAACTATTTTCATATTCTGTTTTTTTTTTTTTGAATAAACTTTGCTATTTGATCTTAATTAACTTTAAAATATATTTCACATTTACTGTGCCTTACTTTTGTACCTGTCATGAGAGCATAGGGCTTTGCTTGCATATCAGCAGATGCATTAAAAAAAATACTATTACTTTAGAGTCACTAATGTCGCCTCGTTTCTTTCTCTGTTTGCATTAAATGAGTCTCTAAGAGTATTAATTCTAAACCCAAACTAAAAATATTTACACTGTACTATATCCCTCTCCTTCTGTGATGAAAGCAGAGTTTTAACCCCTACAGATGAAAAACTAATTAAGAAGGACTAAGAAAGTATTTGATTAAAAGAATCTGTGCTTCAGCAGATTTCTTAAAGGGAAATTCAAAATTTTTAAAGAATATTACAGTTTAAGTTGTTAGGGCTACAGAAATTTTAAATCTAATTATTACTTTTTGTTAACAGAAAAAGAAAATAAATGTATTTTCAAAGGCAGAATTTGATTGCAGTTTGTTTTATTTGCTCATGTATTCTGCTGCACCCAGTGTTGGGCATTGAGAATCGTTAATCGGTTGGAACCAATTCTAACCTTTCAATTCCTCTGGAATCATTCGAATGTTTTATTTTCTATTTCTAGTTTCACTGCCCAGTTTGCCAACCAAAAATAGAAGCTGACTAATAGAAAAATCCATAGGAGTGTGTGCACAACCATCTGTTTGTGGGGCATCACTTGAAAGTAAGGCCTTATGTCAATTAAATAATGACTAGTTGGCCACCTGTGATACTGGAAATGGGATTATATTATGGAAAGAATGGCGCGTGGCTAATGTCATTAAACTCTGGATGAGAACCTGCTGCGCTGCTGTTGTAAGGTCAGTTGAAATGTCCAGATTCATCCAGACAGAACTCTGTTACTTCAATTTTTATAAATCTTCCTCTTATAAAGAACAAAAAAACAAAACAAAATCGGAATAAAAAATCTATAAGAACCAGAATCGAAACAAGGAAAAAGAGTGGGAACTGCTCTGCTGCACCATGCAGCAAAGACACTTTAGCAAAAATCTAGAATGGCTTTAAACAGCTTTAAGATTTAAATGTAGGACTTTTAGGATTTAGCAAAAAGCCAAATTGAATTTAAATGCAGTTTTTGCAGTACTGTAAAACTTTGTTTCACAAGTTGTGACTGTTATATTATCATATTTTTTTTACCCCTCCATTTTATTATTTCTAAACATTAAGTCAAATTTTCAGTTTCATTATTCAGAAAAATGTTAATGGATGAGCTTAACTACTGATGCTGCTACTGGGTAGCACATTTCATTTTCAATGACTCTTCTTTTATAATAAAACTCTGTATACAAATCTTTCCCAAACACTGCTAGTATCTATAAAAACCAAGATAAATTGTCTAAACTTGTCTGTAGGTTAATATGTGGATATTCTAGGCCATTTCAGATCATTGTTAGGTAACTGGCAATTTAAAAACAAATCTGTAGATTTTCAGGACATACAAGCTTTGCACAGTAAAAAAAAAAAAGATAATCAAAACTGTATTTAAATCTAAATTGACTCCAAGTGTGTTCACACAGAGAAATACAAACAAACCTCATAATATAAAACGTCTAAAGGCTGATTTATACTTCAAAACCAGGTCGTCTGCATAGGTGTCGCAGTTAACAAAAAGACGTCCCCTCCGCAGACACTCCGCTACACCTCTCCCAAATTGTAGGTGACCGCAGACAGGAGGCCGGCTTGTTTTGTTTTTATGATCGCAATTGCGGAAAACAACTCGTGAAGTTTGACCAGCAAGAAGAGCCAGGTGCACGAGAACGCTGGGACCCTTTTTCCACCTGGATCCCCACTATTTTCCCCCCCTCATGTCCCTCCGTTGTTGGACTAACTCGCCCCCACGTCCTCACCGCCTCGGCCGTATCTAGACCCACAGCGTATAACGCAGACCACGCTTCAAAATTGAGCATAAATCCAAAATGTCTGCGTCAAGCTTAATGCGACACACTGCTGCGGGGAGTATACCCAGCCCTTAAGAGTAAACACCACATGACTGTGTAATTTTCCCTTACCATTCCCAGACTCGCAAACTCTTATCATCTGATGTGCTGACGAAGCGCCGATTTTCATCCACAAAGGTGATGGTGTTGACAGCACCCAGATGGCGATCGTACTCTTGAACCACCTCACCTGTCCTGATGTCCCACTGCGCCACAAATAAGAGCAGAAAGAGAGACGGAAATAAATAAAGCAAATACTGGATGATATAAATAGCCAAGAATAAATAAATAAGACAACAAAAGTGTCAGCACACATTTTCACAAGCTAAAATAAGATCAGATGGGTGCTTGTGGGAGTTTCCCTTTAGAGAGAAGAGTCAATATTTGTCAGTGCTGAAAAATTATTAAACTAGAGTGAAGATATGACAGCAAAAGACAATTAAACAGGCCTCAGATTTGAACATCAATATATTTCTGGAGAAGGCATTGCATTAATTAAGCTGAGAAAAAAAAAAGGTATTCACACAGATGCTACCACCTCCAGGCTACAAAACAAACACAAATGTGTACGCAATTCTGTCCAATTTCATTTCTGCTCTTTTATTTAAATCCTCCTCTTGGGGCCAGCAGCCATCTGTGCTCATAGCCGAGAGGACAGCTGCATGATTTAGCATTAGCCCTGATTGAGATAACAAATGCAGTTAATACTGATAGTTATGAATCACTTTAGGGTTCCTATATTCATATCTAAATGTTTTTAAGAAGGCAAAAATGCTCTAAACTCTTGGTTCCATTTGTCCTCTGCGTGTTACCACCACACAATTTTTAATCTGTTTATGATTTGAACATTGCTCTATATTTATTACAGCGTTCTTCTCACTACCCTTGTACTGCCTGTGATTAATGACTTGCTCTAGTCCTGTCAGCCACTTATCCTCTTGCAAGTCGCACCGTGCTCTGCACACTAGAGCCACAGTATGAGACAGAAGTGCATTTCATGCTCCTCTGGGCTGAGGATGCAAAAACAGAAACTTTAGTGCATTCTGCAGACACAAGCACCCACTTGACAAGCTTTACCTGAACAATCTTCTTGTCCGACATCCCAGCCACAAAAAGACTCTGCTTGTCTTCGTCCGGATTGAACTTGACACAGTACGGTACCTTCCTGTTTGTGAAGCGAGAGATACACTGGCCTGTGGAGAGCAACCAGATTAAAAGTCAGAGTTCCAGAAGAATCCATTGTTTCTTTTCTTCTTTTTTAACAGGACACACTGAAGCAGTCAAGATCTTAAAGAACTCAGTCTGGAACTTTTAATGCTGTGTAGCTCGATCCTCATGGAAGGTGACAAGTCAGCTGTGAAAGAGAAAATATTGTCTTCCTCTTCTCTTTCTGTAGGGAAGATACTGCCATGTATCCAGGGACAAGATTAAGATACAGGATCTAATTCCCAGTTACAATAAACAGACAATAGATTTCTACATAGTAATCAACCTATCAGTATCACCAAGCTCCAGAGTTATCAACAAGAGGGGGATTAAACTCCTTTCTGCCCCCTGCTGGAGAAGCATCATTGAACTTGAGGGGTGGCAATAAATCTCAATAGAGCAAAGGAAAGACCAAAAGAAAAACAGCAATAGGTAGCTTTAAGCGATTTGGTAGCATTTAAAATGGCAGAAGTTCAAATTAACATTTGAGCTTCATTTCCACCACATTTTCCCTAAAAGCAGCATTATGAAGAAAAGGACCATACTGAAACTCATCATATAAAAAATAAGATCATTCATTCTTTTATTGGGTGTTTCCCAAATCCAACAGCATGTAGGCATGATATGCACACATGCATACAGACATCGCATCTGAATGGTAATTTAGAGGTTCTATAATGTAACTGACATGGCAGGATTCTAAGGCAATAAAAATAAAGAGACAGTAGATTAAAAAACATATATTTTGGTAACCTACATCAATTAGGGCTGCATAATATATCATCAATATCCTATATGATTGTCAGGGCAACAACTGTTCAATATAGCAGAACTACTACAATATATTATTTAGCAGAATATTATATTTCAAGTGTCAATAATTTAAATCAAACTTATTTCATCTAAACTACATATTATTGGGAAGAACAAGATGCATTCTGGGAAACAGCAGAAAGGTGAACTATGCAGTAGTGTATGATGAATAGTTCACCTGTCTCAGAGTCCCAGAGTTTAAGGTAGCGGTCGTACGCGGCGCTCAGGAACTGGGTTCCACTGTTGTTGAAGCAAATGTCTCGCACTGCTTTGCTGTGACCTAAAATGAAAATAATAAAAAAAAATAAACAATAAAAAAGGGGCATTTAGGGAATTTTCTCTAAGCTCAAAACCAATGCAAGAAAACAATATTTTTCCATTGAACACTGAAACGTGCCTTCTCTGACTCAGCTGTGCTCTTTCTTTAAAGGCTATGATTAAAAAAACATTTAGAAAGACAGAATTCCACATGTGGAAAAATATTTATTTCTAATTTGGAAATAAAAAAAAAACTAAAATGACTAACTGTAACTACGTCTTTAACAGTTTTATGGATTATTCCCATCCTAACCCGCATCTTCAGCTGTCTGGCCCTTTCTCATAAAGAAAGGTGATTTCAGATCCCTTCTAGTATCAGTGTTTTGTTTCCCTTGTTAAAACCAGCTTTTATCAGAGGTATGCTGTTTCCACAGTGATAACACAGCCCACTGAGGCTAAGCACCCCCTCTGCACCCTCCCTCTGACCAAAGGCAGCAGGACCACAGCAAAACGCCTTCAGCAGGAATACGCGGAAAAGAACAAACATTAATAGCACTGAAAAACAGGTCACACAAGTAAGCAAATATCCCCCATGTTCCAGCCTGGATTCAAATATGAAAATACACTATATTGCCAAAAGTATTTGCTCACCTGCCTTGACTCACATATGAGCTTAAGTGACATCCCGTTCCTAATCCATAGGGTTCAATATGACGTCGGTCCACCCTTTGCAGCTAGAACAGCTTCAACTCTTCTGGGAAGGCTGTCCACAAGGTTTAGGAGTGTGTTTATGGGAATTTTTGACCATTCTTCCAGAAGCGCATTTGTGAGGTCGCACACTGATGTTGGACGAGAAGGCCTGGCTCTCAGTCTCCGCTCTAATTCATCCCAAAGGTGTTCTATCGGGTTGAGGTCAGGACTCTGTGCAGGCCAGTCAAGTTCATCCACACCAGACTCTGTCATCCATGTCTTTATGGACCTTGCTTTGTGCACTGGTGCACAGTCATGTTGGAAGAGGAAGGGGCCAGCTCCAAACTGTTCCCACAAAGTTGGGAGCATGGAATTGTCCAAAATGTCTTGGTATGCTGAAGCATTCAGAGTTCCTTTCACTGGAACTAAGGGGCCAAGCCCAGCTCCTGAAAAACAACCCCACACCATAATCCCCCCTCCACCAAACTTTACACTTGGCACAATGCAGTCAGACAAGTACCGTTCTCCTGGCAACCGCCAAACCCAGACCCGTCCATCAGATTGCCAGATGGAGAAGCGCGATTCGTCACTCCAGAGAACGCGTCTCCACTGCTCTAGAGTCCAGTGGCGGCGTGCTTTACACCACCGCATCCGACGCTTTGCATTGCACTTGGTGATGTATGGCTTGGATGCAGCTGCTCGACCATGGAAACCCATTCCATGAAGCTCTCTGCGCACTGTTCTTGAGCTAATCTGAAGGCCACATGAAGTTTGGAGGTCTGTAGTGATTGACTCTGCAGAAAGTTGGCGACCTCTTCGCACTATGCGCGTCAGCATCCGCTGACCCCGCTCCGTCAGTTTACGTGGCCTACCACTTCGTGGATGAGTTGCTGTCGTTCCCAAACACTTCCATTTTCTTATAATACAGCTGACAGTTGACTGTGGAATATTTAGGAGCGAGGAAATTTCACGACTGGATTTGTTGCACAGGTGGCATCCTATCACAGTTCCACGCTGGAATTCACTGAGCTCCTGAGAGCGACCCATTCTTTCACAAATGTTTGTAAAAACAGTCTGCATGCCTAGGTGCTTGAATTTATACACCTGTGGCCATGGAAGTGATTGGAACACCTGATTCCAATAATTTGGATGGGTGAGCAAATACTTTTGGCAATATAGTGTATCACTGATTGATATTCATATATTTTCCTACACTCCAACCTTCGCAGTTCAGTTTTAGCAGGTGATCCTTCAGGTTTGGTGAGTAAAATCAGACCACATTCTGTGCGGTATTACATCAAAGTGTGTTTAACAAGTAAGTCAAATATTATTTTAGTTTATGGCAAGTGTGCATGAAAAGAAGACTTCCTCAGAAAATGGGATACCTTCAAAAGGGGAAGAAACACTATTATATTTTAATAATAAATGGAGGGCACAGCAATGCAGAGTTAATATTCTCCCAGAAGCATTACTAAATTATTTTTAATTGAAATCATTTAAAAATTAACAGTTATTTCAATCGGCTTCTTACACCTTTTCCATGCAGACTTTCTTGTTATTTTATTCTTCCCTAAGTGGGTTTCCTCTCCACCCCCACCTCCATGTGTCATACCCACCCTTGCCCCTTGTTCCCTTCAGCCCCTGGGCTGTTGAATAATGTATATCCTGTGAAGGAGCTGACAAGCAGAACCATAGCTGCAAACGATCTCTATTCTGACAGTGTGCTGTCAGAGAGGAGGAGCAGAGGGTCCTGCATGCATTAGCCTAAAAACGCTCAAACCTCATGGAATAATAAATATCCCTCTACATGTATCATTGAATTTAAGACACAGCATCTCTGTCAGAGGTCAGCAAACACCGGTATTCCAGTTATGCTGAGCTGACAGTCACTTCAGTGCATTTCCCAAAAGGGACATTTTAGGATTTGAGCATGTTTCCTGTCAGCATGTTTGCCGGTCACATGTTATTGTTCCATGAAAAACATTTATCTCATTACGAGGTTAAAACTTTAAAATAAAACATAGATTTAACAGTAGATGATAATTTTCTTTACTTACCAATAAATGTACGTAGACACCTTCTATCTCCATACACCTCCCACAGCTACAGAAAAATGAGATCACACATGTATAAATGACCTGATCAATAAAGGGAACATCCTGACATCAGAAATGTCAACCAAAATAATGAGATGCAATGATAATGGGTTCTAACAATTCCTTGTTTTCTTAAAGTCTGCATAGAAAAATAATAAAACACCTTTATCATAGGGAGCATACCATGTAAATAAAAGATGCAATTAAGGTTCTTAATTAAGGTTTCAAATTTAAATCCAAGAAAAATATAGGAATTACAAGATTAACCAAATTTATATGCCAAAGTTCTTGACCTTTATCTGAATAACACAAAAGAAAAATAAACCTGTGGTTGATCAGCTTGGTTCTATCTCAAAATGGTAGAAATGCATGATATAATTTCGCAAAGAATTGACATTTTTCAGTATTTTACCTTTCTAATCATTTATAGTCAATAGAGAATTAGCACATAGTGATACCTGATTAACTGAAATATGATTTTCTGTTTAATATACAATAAGGACTCTAAAACCCTTGCAGGGTTAAAGCTTTAAAGATATTAAGGGTCTCTATGATTTTTCCCCTTAAGAAAGGGCAAATTTTCCCAGACCATATTTATAATTTTTTAATTAGTTAAAAATGACTAATTTTGATATTTGAAGACAAAATATGGATATATTAAACACAGTGCTGAAGCTGGCTTTAGAATTAATTATACAGTAAAAGCTATCTGGAGAGATTTAGACAAGCAAAAATCTATACATCAATAGAGCTGTGTAGTAATTAAATGAGGATCCTTTAAAGCACAGCTTGTGACAAGTAAGGACTTCATTTAAGAAAGTTCTAAAAAGCAGGAGTTTTATTGCCTGTGCAAATTCTCAGTCATCTGAGTCATGACTCTGGTGCGAGCAAACAGAATTTACAAAGACTCAAGTTTAGGTGTTTAAAAAAAAAAAATGGAATAAAACTCTGGTTGCCCCCACTTTAGAAGTTATTTATTGGCAGAACTTTCAATGCAAAACCAAAGCCAGTTTAAGCAACTTTGGATTCCTTTAATACAAAAAAAAAAAAGAAGGATCTTAAAGCCAAAAAACTTTAAAAATCTGCTTTATATATTTTTTGAATGAATATTCTAAATGTTTTTTTTTTTTTTTTGCCTTTTATTTATTTTTGGTTTCCAGCACCTAAACCAAAACTGCTGCAATCTTTAAGATAATGAAATAAGATCTAAAGTCAGGAATCAATATTAATTATTGAAGTCTAATTTTTCCACTATGCAGATTTAGAAAAATTATCAAATTATATTCTTAACAGTTTAAAAACCGCTTAATATGCCTGATATCTACAAATGTTACATTAGGTCCAACGGGGTTGCACTCCTGTGACCTATTTAATTCATTAGCAGCCAATTCCCAGCATAACAGGAAGATTAATGACATCAGTCATCATAAGAGAATCCAAGTCTGGGATGCATCAATGACCCACTGCTGCTAGAATATAATTTCATGAGATACCTTGATCTTGCAGTCCATGGAGCAGGAGAGCAGAAGATGACCAGAGCTGGGAAATAATCGGATAGCGCTGACACCCTAGAAAAAAAACAAAAAACACTAACACAGTTAGACAATAGCAATATTATTCTGTTGTTATAGCAAGACTGTTCCAGTTCTTAAAGGTATAGAAGACAATCTTTTATTTCCAGTTGGATCATCTAAATAAGTGGTCCTCTTAATTGTCAATCATTCTGGTTAGGGATGGGAATCGAAAACCGGTTCCTGTTCAGAACCGGTTCCGTATGTTCCAATCCATGGCAGTTCACTTAACTGTTCCAGGCAGCACCAACACCTAGCGCTGGGCAGCACAACTTATGTCACGTTTTTTATGCAAGTTAAGCCACGTTTTTACGCAAGTTACGCACAAGGCGTTCAGTAAACAAGTATGACGTGACCAGACGTAAGATAGAGAAAAACAAAACAAAAAAATGGCGTTCCATCGGGTAAAGTGATCGAAAGTTGGGATCTGAAGTGGCAATAACATCCACGGGAGGAAATACATCCAACATGCAGAAACACCTGCGCACACATCATGGCATAGATTTTAACGGATGCCTTGTTTTTGATAAAGTTACGACCAGCATGGAAGACAACCCTGGTAAGTAACTAGTTTTATATCACTGGCTGTGCTTAATGTGGTTCCTAGTAAATCATATGCCAATTCTGGAAATAAACCAGTTTCCTACCTCTCTTCGGGGTTATTAAACATGCTACAACGTTGCTCCGCGGTTCAGGGAGCGAGAGAAAGGTGACGCTCGTTTATCTAAATCAGGGGGAGATAAGTTTATTTCCTGAAATTGTACAGTAACGCTTTTTCATTAAAAGGATGCCTTCTCCATTAGATTTAGATGACTGTGGCAAGACGTGTAGCCTGGCTGGCTCAGAGGCTGGCAGCTCCCGTTTACTGCCCTCTGTTTTCGCCGACGCAGGCACAAATAGAATGTCCCTGACGAAGGTAGACGAATGTCACTGTGCACTTACCAAGTTTATTGTTTCACAGAATCAATAAGATAATCTATAAGGAATCGAATCGTTTCACAGAATCAATAAGGGAATCATGAAAATCTTATCAACTCCAAACCCTAATTCTGTTGATATGTTCACACAAGGCCGTCCTACATGCTCCCCTGTTAGCTTTATTTTCTGTGCATGCTCACTTTCAGGCGTATATGTGTGGTGATATACGGTTTGAGACCATCAATGAAGCTCAACTTTCTCACCAAGGAACTTTGAAAATGGCCAAGGGCCATAAGAGAAAAGGTGTCTACGAAGTGTATAAAAAGAAAAGACAGACCTCGGAACAGATAAATATACGCAAATCATTATAAAATTTGTTGTCACAGCGGCCTGCTGTCGCTATCCCACAGTGGTGACTAATAAAGACGGTGGCAACTGGGAGCAAAAAGCAGTGATCATCTGTCCGAACAGTCCGTTAACCGAGTTTGACATGAAGTCCACTATATAGTCCCTGCTCTATATAGAGATTGAGGGATTTAGGGGTTGGAGCGGATTGCGGGCACAGTAAGCTTGTATGAGCTATGAGAACAGCAACTTTTAAACAGTGCACGAGGAGTGCCTTTGCATGGGTTTAATAGGCATTCCCTCTTGGGAAGTAGAGAGGACGGTCCTTTAAAAAATTCGCGAAAATCCTCCACATTACCTTTAAGAGGTCTTTCTTATGTGGCAGTTTTTAAATAATAGTAGGGGTAATAGTAAAAGTATTAAATTTAAATCAGTACTTATATATTATGACCTCCAAGTCTTTTGTGTCTATAACTAAACTCCAGAGGAGCAGATTAATGTTCCCTTATAATAAGACACATCGAAAGACATTTGATATTAAGGCGTTAAAACAGCCAATGAATGCACCTAACCTTGCCCTTTTCTGCTCACCTTTGTGTGTCCAGACCAGACATGAATCTGTTTCTTTGGCAGGTAACACTTATCCGGAGCCTCTGAAGAGCGCAAGTTGACACCAACATCCTGTGGAACATGGAGGTATGACCTGCCTTGGTAGTCATACATTTCTTTGACTGCACGACAAGGACAGAGAGAGCAATTTTAGCTCCCTTTAGCTTTAAAGCTTCATTACTTCAAAAATTATCAAGTTTTGAGGGTTATGGATAAAATCTAATTTCAAGTAAAAACAAAATTTGTTTTTGACCAGTTTCACAACAAGCAACTGAAAACATAAAAGCTTCTTATTACCATGAAGAATGGTCTTCTCCTCTGCTGGAGCCTCATCTTCATTCCTTCCCTTCTTCATTCTTTTAGCAGTGATCTCATCAAGTTCCTTCTGCTCTTCCTGTACAATAAAATTAATTAGGAGGAAACGGCAAAGCAGTTACCATATTTTATATAATTATGAAGACAGGCTCAGCAAAGAGAAATCAGTTTAATCTCAAATGAGTGCCTGATTAGGAGGTCTTTAACACGGCTGTGTGGGCAAGTGGAGCCACAAAGCCAGCGATAATAAGAATCTGCTTCACCAAATGTCTGATCTGCTGTAAAAAAAATACACTAGGCTGTAAATAGATGCATTTACATATGCCTCTGCAAAATTAATATTGTTAGTGCAGAAAAAATAGCTATTAGTTAAAAGATCTAAATATAAATGAACTCTTGTGAGTTTTGGTAGATCTCCTGCACTGTCCAGCAATTTATTTCTCTGGGATCATGTTAAGCAGGTTAATAATTCTTTAAGTCGGCACCCTTGATAAATTCATCCAATACATAAAACAACAATTCACCTCTGTTGGTTTGGCCACATCTTTCTCGTCTACATATTTGGCCCACGGTCCCAGGTAGTTGTCAATATCTCCTGCATCCCCACCTTTAACCTTCTTTCTTTTCTCTGGTTTCTTTTGACCACTTTCAAAGACAGTCAGTCCTAAAAGAAGAAATATTTACATTACAATCATTAAGATTGCTAAATGCTATACTAATTAAACAAATTAAAGATATTAAAGGGCCAAAGTAGAACCTCAGCATTATTATTGCTTACCTTTGTTTTTTTCAGCCTCATCCACAGCACCAATATAGCTAAAAGAAGATGCTTGGTGCGTGTCAACAGAAGGATCCAAAGCATAACCTGGAAGAAGAGAAGAAAAAGAACCTTGTAAAGTGTTTCAGCTTTCTTTGTGGCAGTGCAAGATATTACAGATGATCCTGATTATTTTACCATAAGTAGAGAAGGTCCTCCTTTGCTGTTCAAACATAAAATCATTGACATGAGCCGGTTCTGCATAGCCTGACAGCATATTCCTGGGGGCAGACATCTGCTGGGACTTATGAGGGTTCACTGGTCCAAACTAAAATGAAACAAGCAAACAAACATTTGGAATGAAAAAGGGAGAAGCCAACCATTTAGAGAGTTTGTGGATGATTTTCTATCGGGGTTCTCTCCTGTGTATTTAAGCGTAACAGCTTACATTTGCTCATTTTTTGTAGCTGTTTGACTAACATCAAGACTTCCTCCTCTGTGCATCTCAGGGAAGTGAGCTTAATGGCCTTGATTTTAATCATTTAATTTAATCATTTCATTATTTGCAGAAATATCTATCTATATATATATATCTATATCTATATCTATATCTATATATATATATATATATATATATATATATATATATATATATATATATATATATATATATATATATATATATATATATATATATGTTGATAACCATTTTATTCAAATCATGACCCAACTTAAAATCTTAAAAAACCAACTTAAATATTATTACTCTAGCCTTCTGGTTGTGTGCTGTTGTAAAGTTTCGATGTCAGGAGCCATGGGACGCTGTATCACTGTGTTAGAGTAGGCAATGTAACAACAGAGTTTTACTAATATTTATTACGAGATAAAATGTTTACAGAGATTTGATTCTTGGCTGTCTCTAGTATATTAAGTTAACAATAAAAAGCATCCTCTGAAAAGCAAACTTGCTTTAAATGCACCAGAAAATAAATTTTCTTTATGAATATCTTAATATATTTCAGATTAATTCATTTTTAATTAATGCTCAGAGTAGCAAGAATCTGTGGTATTTTAGCAAAACCACTGAGATCTTTTGCTATTAGGACTCAACATCTAACCTGACAACAGCCAGATGCATGTCTCGCTCCGCCTAGCTCCACTCACATACATCTGGGAACCCGCCATAGGAATTGCCTTTACTGAAGGCTGGGCCTTATCAAAACTCCTTGCATATGATTGGATAAGCCACTTGTCTGTCATCTTTATTGACGTGCTATTTCAACCACTCACACCGAAGCTAACCCGTGACGCTGTGAGAGGAGGAGCCATTTGGTAGATCAAGCTCTTGCCAAATCCGGTCGGGAGAAGGGCGAAAACATCGTTTCCACCAACAAAAGCCTTCAAAGCCGTTCTCTGATGTTCTTTTAATTAAACAATATCAGATAGATTGGACAACACAGAAGAAATAGCAGCATCAATGCTAACGCTTGCTTCCTCAATGCGAGCCGCCATTGTTGTTGGAATCTCACGGTCGCTTCTCCAGGACACACCCACCCTGCGTCCTGATTGGACAGACCATAAATTCGGTTGGGGAAATCACTTTCAATGAGCGGGTTCCCAGATGTATGTGAGTGGAGCTGGGCGGAGCGAGACATGCATCTGGCTGTTGTCAGGTTACTCAACATCGTTTTTGACCGATAAAAGAAAATACAAAATCTTTCTAATATTGTTTCTAAAAAAGCGTTTTTCAAGCTCCACTCATGAGCAAACACCACTGGGTAAATCTTTTTTTCATGAATAATAATGTGTATCATTAAAGCAACCAACATTGTGAAGGGTAAAAAAAAAAATAATAATTCAAGAATAAGTGAACTGACCAAATGTCTTTTTTATTAGACATTTTTTCTTATAGGGGAGGTGATGGCCTAGTGATTAGAGCAGTGGCTTGTATTCTGAAAATGTAGAAAGTACCCGTTTTGATCCCCACAGTCTGCACTCTGGGACTCTGAGCAAGACCCAAAACCCCACACTGCTCCCCTGGCGCAGCACAGTGGCAACCCACTGCTCCCCAAGGGGATGGGTTAAAATGCAGAGGTAAATTTCCCCAGTATGAGATCAATAGGGTTCAATTATTATTATAGAACCAAAAATAATTATCTTTTTAAGTGAAGCAGCAAAATAATTCTATATAAATATATTATTCATAATTCAGTGGTTACAGCACAGCTCAGCACGGTGGCCTAATTTAAAAACCCACTGCTTTTGAACATGTACATTTTCGACGCCTCTGCAACCACTGCTGCTGTGACAGAAGGTGCTGATTTTGATTGCCACCTTATCAAAAAAAAAAAAAAAACAAGCAAGAAAGAAAAACGAGCAAAAACAATTTTGCTGTGATGAGTCACACCCCATACACTTACAAGAGCTTTTCAGCTGCAATCCAACTGTTTATCTTACCTAATGTGTTCACATGCTTAAAAGCACACTTTACGTGGGTTTATGTTATATTGCACAGCATAACATACCTCATGTATAAAACTACTCTAGATACTATACTGTCTATAGTAGGACGAAGTATGTCCGAATTAATGTATTTTGAAACATTAAACTGGTTTCTTTTTATACTACATTGTTACCTGCTGTACTTTATTTTGGTAATGTTTGGTAACTAAAATAACATTACACTGTTGTAAGCTGTATACAACGGAATTCGTTTTGCATACATTCTGTGCATAGAAAATGACAAAGTTTGCCTAAGTCTAAATGCAGGGAGCGATCTAATCTATTATTTTATTTTCTGTATCTTTGATGATCACTTGACCAGTGGCTAAATCATTATGAGCTAGATTATTAAGACTTCGGTCAGAATGCCCTGCCATTACAGCCAAGGCAGGACATGAGAACAGAGAGGTGAGTGAATCTTCAGCAGTGTAGACAGAGCAACGCAGAAGAGTTAAGGCATGTGACTATGAGGTCATCCCTCCAACAGTTATTTCGAACTTAACAAAAGTATGTGCTGGATAAATGCTCTGCATAATATGTGACACCTATGAATTTTTCATGGCATCAAAATAATGTGTTGCTCTTAAGCCTAGCTAAACATAAGAGTACTGGTATAAAGTATTGAAGAAGGCAAATCTCTAGTATATGGAAGCAAGATATCTTTACATGTTTTTAAAACAAAAGACATCAAATTTGTCAAAAGTATTATTAAAGAAATAATATATACATTTTGTAGAATTATAACTATTGGGAAAACAATTTTAATATATAGTAGAAAAAACCAAACATAGGCTTGGAGAGTGACCTTAGACCCCTAGTAAAGCAGAGTAGGTGACATTTTTAAACTGGATTTATTATCCACAAAAAAGGGTGTTAAAAAATCAATTCACCTTATATGGTAGATTACTTAACATCCCTTACTTTTTTCTTTTTATCTGTATTAGTTTACTACACATAGTTCCATGTATTCTAACAATGAGCATCTTGACAGTAGAAAGTTTAAAACAATCATCATACACTACTTTTGGTTTATTAAGTTGAAGACGTGTAAATAAATATGTAAAGTACTGTAGAATATTGATCAAAAATCTTTTGTTTCAGTCAACATCAGGTAATATAATCAGGAAATAAAGAACATACAATTAAAATGGAAATACAATAAAACAAAAGCTAATAAAATTAGCTTTAAAATTAACAAAATATAGACAGTAGTTCCAATGTTTATAGCAGCTTGGCAGTACATTGTTCCCCTATCAGGCTGGCTGGCCAATAAAGGGCGCCGCCCCACACCCAATGACACTGATTAAGACATAAAAAAATGATTATTTTTATAATTTAAGTTGAAATTAAGATGCGAAATATTTCAAAATAAATCTATCTATATATTTTTAGATGTGCAAGATAAATATTTAATCTTTAGTGACTAGTAAAGAGTCATTACATTTTTCGTTAGATTGGTGAAGTATTTCTGCCCTAAGGCGCTAAAATCTTTACCAATTGACTCTCGTTAAAAGTTGTACATTAGCAGTAGCTCCTCTGCAATACATAAGTTTAGGAGAGCTCTGGGCGCAGAGAGCTGCGCACCGAGCTGACAGGAAGTGCATTTGCTCACCACCTGCAGCCATAGTCGAGTCGGGGGGGGTTGGAGATGCATTGGAGAGTGAAATGGAAATGGTGCAAGAAATTTTCTTTTTTCAGGAAATGGTTTAGCAAGAAGGCTTGGCTAGCATGAAGCTTTATCCTGCTTTCCCTGCCTCCTTTTTCAAATTTCAGGATCTGATCCAGCATGGATAAAGACAGCTAGGACTGATTTAAAGCACTTTGTAGAAAAGGCAAAGAAGAATGACCAATCTGGGATTCAGATGGAAAATAATATAATATAGTGTACTTTTTCTAGATGTTTGTGAATTTACATAGTGGCTCATAATTCAACACATTCTCAGAAAATTTTTTATATATCAAAAAAAGTATAAAGCTGACCAATAGATTCTCCATTATTAAACTGGTAAAATTTTTTTTTAGGTTTGTGACACAAAATTGGACCGTGCAAAACACAGATTTCCCTTCACAAAGCCTCAGAAAGGCAACATTTATGTTCAAAAAGTAAACCTATGCATGAAATTATGCTATTTTTTCATAAAGTGTATTCATAATTTTTTTATTGTTGTTGTTAGCATTCATATAAGAACACTTGTGTGATAACTTAGTGTACGTTTGATTGTTTTTTGGTATATCTCTATTATGAATTTGAATCAATTGTTTGAAGAAGTATAATACTATTCAGAGACTTACCTCAGGTGCAAACATAGTTTCAAATGTCGGGTTATAAGTGACTTCTTTTAGTGAAGGGTCCAAGTGTATTCCAGTCTCAACAGCCTCCTGATACAAAAGAGCCCCAAAAACAAATATATAGCCAGCTGTTATAGAAATAACCATCATCGACAATGTCAGATAACAGCTAAGATTAATGGTTTTTACCAAATGACTTTACAGAATTACTAAATACATAGGCTACATGTAAGAGGCTGTTCAGTGAACAATGCTACTAACATCATAGCGACAGTTTTCCATTAGAAAATATAGAAACGTTCACAAATATATAACAAATGTATAACATATAAAGCAATGCTTCGTAATATGTATGTATTTATTTAGTGGAGGAAACAATTTATATCGCAGTTTAAATACAAAATCCGAACTGAACGTCAAGCTAACGTTATGTAGCCTGTATCACTTAGCTTACCTTAACAGCAACCTCCGGGGCAGAATTGAGAACAGCCAAAGACATTTTGTGTCCAGACTGAAGAGGTTTAAGATGAGCAGTCGCATCCGGATCAATTGGGTCAACTTTTTCGGTGCTGGTAATGGATTCTGAGTCGTTTTCAGAATCGGAATCACTCCCGTACGAAGCGAGGGAAGCTATGGAGGCAGACATCTTCGATGTTGTGAAGTTACCGGAAGCAGGGGGCGGGACTTCCGGTGTAAGATATCTGTGGGGGGAAAAAGTAAAAACTTTATTATCAGCAACAAACGTGTTATTTGAGTTTTTTACGACAGCGTACAGAAATACAGATAAAATATTAGAACTTAAATCTTACTAAAATAGTTGCTGCAGTGATAAACAAGCTGCAGTGATAAAAAAAGTAGTTTTCAAAGAGTGTGAAGGAGGTGAAATGTAAAATGTCTACTTATCACCAAAATATTGTAGTTCAAACAATATATAGCAAATTCTGAGATTTTACTTTTGCTAATTTTCACAATCAAAAGTTTCAATTATCTAAATTTGTAATTACATTGCTTCTCACCATTTTCTTTACTTTTTTCAACTTGTCAAAACAGTAAACATTAGTGCATTTAAGTATAAATGGTGATCAGGGGTATTTACTTAAACAATTAAATCACCTCCCCTTCCTTATTTGAAAAAAATAAATAAACATTTGATCTTTATTTCAACTAGGCTTCAGGTTTGTTGGAGGTTATCATGGGGTCTCATGATCTATATGCTTATTTCATTAATCGTGCTTTTACAAAAATTTAGGACACGAACACAATATGGGTTCATTTTTTAAAATCTTTTTTTCTTTCACTCCACTTCAACAGCGTTCAGAAGTCTGTGGTTTAGAACGAGTACAGGTCCAGTGCAGACATTTATATTTTATAATCTGAAAATGTTGGTTGAATTTTTTGGTTGATCAGAAAAAAAATAAAAAAAAATTATTTATGAGCTAGCTCAAAATAAACGAAATAAAATAGCTCAGGTTTGTGTTCACAACATTGACCACAGTCCAACCACAAACAACTGGCTAAATACTTGAAATGGACAAAAATTGGATAGTAATACCCAAAATGTAGAAAATGTATAGGCTATATATATATATATATATATATATATATATATATATATATATATATATATATATATATATATATATATATATATATATATATATATATATATATATATATATATATATATATATATATATATATATATATATATATATATATATATATATATATATATATATGTATATATATATATATATATATATATGTATGTATGTAACAAGCAAAAACTATATCTGAGCACTTCTGCATTTTATTTCAGTCTTTTTTTTGTGCTGTATAAGTAAGCTGATGCATTAATTAAATCATAATCTTACGGATCAGGAAAGGTAAGTTGAATAAATGGAACATTATAATTCTTTGGACAGCCCAGTATGACGATTTGGCACTTCAGCCAATGCTGCGAGCGCACGCGCTGTCAGCGAGCCTCCCACGATCACACATCAGCATGGGACGCTGCCTCGCGCCCCAACAATGGAGTGGCTCATACCATCATCGCTGATTGTTGCGGGGACATTCTTCCCAAACAAACCAAACGCAACTCCGCTTTTTTAGCCGTGAAAGCCTCGTCGCTCCGGAATAACCCCCCCAAAAAAGGGATCAAGTTGAAATATTTGCCGTCAGTTGACTTGGAAAACATTTAATCTCAGCTTTGTCAAGATCTATTCAAAGAAACCCTTTGCAGAAAAAAGAAAAAAGTGGCTGGATTGTTCTGCGCCGCTGCCGCCTCCTCCAGCAGGAGCGCATTTGATATCAGAGACGGTGCAGCCATGGATCTGACCCGGGGATTTAAACGCTTGGATTCAGTGGCGCGCTGTGCGTCTCTGTGAGGATGGAAAGGAAATAACCGGGAATTTAACCAACATACCAGGTAACGTTTGAACGTCATGTGCTGCTGCAGCCACACTGAAATCAGACTTTAATAACATTGCATGGATGTTCTTAATGCAGCGATCTCTGGACTATTCAGTTCAACTTACTGCCTCAGAACAGAGTCACCATGTTGTAACATTAGACCTTAGCTGGAGCTGCCAGACTCATAACGGTGTTGGTAATTCAACACTCCTCTCCAAGCCCTAACTCCCACATTATCCTGGCATGCATGTGATAAACATATTAATGGGATCCCGAAGTAATCCATATTGAAAAAGTATCAAATACGTATTTCTAATGCGTTAAATTCCCATTTGCGTTAAATTCCCAATGCGTAAAAGTCCCATTTATAAAGAGGCTGTTGGATGATCAGTTTGATCGGCACATCTGCAGCAGCTGCCGCTGCAGCAATGTCTTGATATATGTACAGTCTGAGGAATTGCATGGATTTTTTTTTTTTTTGTCCTTTTCTTTTTTGCAAGTAATCCAGATAACTAGTATTGCCACGTATGTTTGTAAATGAGAGGGAAGCATTCAAAACATGTAAGCCAGCTGTTATGTCAGTAACTGGGGGGGTTTGGTGGATGGAGAGTTCATGGAGCGCTCAAACCGCTGGGAATGAATTTCTGTGCGATGAGGGGCCGGGGTCTTTCTCCAAGCCTACTCGGTTTGCAAACTGTAATGGGGGGATGGTAGGTTACAGCCCATTAAAAAAAAATCGTGGTTTCTGAAATCTGAAACCTTCTTTGTGCTGTTTGAAAGTGTGACAGCACCTTAACACAAGGAATCCAGTTCTTTTATGACTTATGTTCATCTTTTTATATGTTAATTATGTTTTTTATTAGAAAAACAAATATTCTGCAGCATGTTTTTATCAAATATAACATAAGAGTTTTTTTTTTTATAAAAATGTGACTGGAATTTGAGCAAGCTCGATGTATATGTGAAGTATGCGGCTGCTAAGCCCCCCCACCAACAAGCTGTGTCCAAGAGTCTAGAAGTCAGGTTTACAAATATTCCTGTAGTGGCAGTCATGCTAAATAAAGCTTGTATAAACACAACCAAATATACTTTCCTAACAAACTGCATTTGGCTACAAAAAACAAACAAAAAAAGCAACTAATTATGAGCAAACCTAGTACAATAAAGGTATTGTGGAGGTGTGCAAGAGCATGCATGAGCCCATTTCTCCTCGTGCACACCCTGTTTAAAATGTGCAGTTCTCACAGCTTATACAAGCTTACTGTGTCCACATGCAGCAGGGACTATATATTGGACTTAATAGCAAACTGAGTTAACTGACCGTTCAGAAGGAGGATCACTTCTTTTTGCTCTGTTGGTCATGTAACTCCTCCTCGGCACCGTGCCTTCACCATCTCTGTAATAAATCGCCGCTGTTGGGTAGAGACAGCCTATGGCATCAGCAGGCCACTGTGACAGCAAATCCTATAGTGCTTTGCAAGGAGAGCTTTCAGCAGAAAGCATTCTGGGATAAATCTGCTTCTTCTGAGCCTTTTCGTCTCATACGTTTCGTAGACACTTTCTTTCTTACGACCCTTGGCCATTTTGAAAGAACTGCGGTGAGATATGTTAGCTTCAATACAATTTGGCACTTCACTTTATGTAAACATATCAACAGAATGATTGGCAATAAGGAGGACCACTTATTTAGATGATCCACCCGGAAATAAAATATCATCCTCTATACCTTTAATATGTAGATATTGCTAAGTTTAGATTTTAAACATGTTTTTTTGTGAAACTAAGGTGTTGCACAGTGTATTTAATGTAGGGCTTACACAAAATATAATCCTTGAAGAACAATAGTTTCCATCTTTGACCTTTCTGTGTTCCTTTTCCAACTTGATTTAGTCTGAGGTGGTTCTACCACCTAACAAATAGTACAAAGATTATCATGATAAATAAAAATCGCCTTAGTGTATCTTTTTTTTTAGATAATCTGTAAACTGATAGCATTCAAAGTACCCTCCTGCTTATAACACTGTATTAACTGGGCCAGTCTTTATCTCCTATGAACTGAATCAGTCAAATGTGATAAAGATACATATGATAATATGAGGGACACAAGCTTCTCTTTTTAGCTCAGATTATGGCAGAATGTTAAATGGAACAACTCAATAATTTCTCTGACTTGGTTATTTGATAATAAGGTTATTCGACTCAGATCAGTTTTTTAAATTTTCAGAAGACTTGAGTCTTAAACTTTAAAAACCTTATTAATATAAGCCATAAAAAGGGATAAAAGATGTATGTGCTTGAGAAGAGAATGTGACTAGAATATTTATCATGTTGGTAGGATATAAAAGTGGCTTTCAGATGCTATAATCACTCCCAATCAGCTCTGACGTTTAATGATGCTGTGATGTAGCATCATCAAACTATAAAGTACTTTTCATGACAGAGAACCCGGTTTCTCTTACTGAATCCTATCTGTAGATGTATGGCCACAACAGAGCACAGCTGTCCCCATGTTTCCTGAGAACTTTTTGCTTTGAGATAAAAAAAAAAAAAATCTTGCAACGCTGGCAACCTCCTTTGTGACAAAAGAGTTTTGGCAAGCATACTGCGGAGGCTTTTTGGACCTCTCTTGTTTGTTGACATTACTCTGATCCTCTGCCAGTTTCTGCCTTTCTCATGCAACCAGGAACAGTCTCTCCCTTTCTGTCTTTCACCATTTTGTGTCTCATTTGAGGTGTACTGGAGTGATAGGGGAGACACAAACTGGTAGGGAGAGAAGGACAGAGCATGCACAGAGGTGAGGGGGGTTAAAAAAAGATAATTAAAATAGGGGAAGGTGTGCCAGCGATTCTAAGGATGCCAAATAGGGCAATGTGACAGTTTCCATTTACATGCCATTTAGTGGAGCCACAGACGAACCTTCTATCTCCCAGCTGTTGGGATGCTCCCGAGGGTCCGGCACACAGGGGCTATTGTTCCGTCTTTTGGCCAAGCCCACAGCTCAATAATGCTGCTTCTGTCCTCTGACTGAACTGGTCTGTCAGAGAAAAAACAGAGCATGGTTTAGCCTGACTGACTTGTGTTTTTTGTGTATTATTACTGTTATATCTGTATCCTTCCAAGAGTTAAATGGGAGGTGGCAAATCTTGAGTTTCTATGCTTTTCCTTCTTCTTTTTGGCATTTTCATCAAAATAGAATTTAAAGATTATAGAATGTTTTTAAAAATGTATAAGTTTTGGCACTTTTTGGATTTATTCTACATAGAGGGAAATATTTTAAACCTTTATTTCTTTAATTCCGACCACAATGGCTTAAAGATCATAGAAAACTATAAATTCATTATCTTAGAAAACTACAGTATTATCTAAAATAAGTAAAAAGGGATATTTCAAACAGATGTGTCAGACTTTTGTGAATATGTTCCTTTATCTGCACCAAATACTCGATTGGGACCTCTTTTGCCTGAATCACCTCATCCCCATAAAACTTGTCAATAGAAGGAAAGTGTTGATGCTTTGAAAAATACCTGGTAGATGGCTTCATTTATTGTGGACTTTAGAAAACACAGGCCAAATCCATCAGACAGCTTGGCATCACAAACTGTGGGGAACGTCACACTTAAAGCAATGTGGAATCTATGCCTCCACATTCTGGCTCAAGACTTGGGACATTAATTTCCAAATAAATTTAAACATTATTCTTAATCTGCCAAAAAAAAAAAAAAACTTTGGACCACAGAGATAAAGTCAGAGATATTTTCTCATTAATTTAGTTAAAAACCCTCTCAGGTTATATGTTCTGCTTTAAGACTGACTTTACACAAGACATGCAACGTTTTATTGCATGTTTAAAAGTCTGTGCAAATTGGCTCTGGGTTGCTGACACCAGCTTCAATCCACTGTTTTTGAAACCACTCATATTCTCTGATGCCTGTTGCTTTTCCACCTTTTCCACTCAGACTTTATCTCCTTCCACTCAACTTTCTACAAATACAGTATTGAACATTTTCATGAACCTTATCTGCTTTCCATTATCTGAATTTCACAATCATAAAAAAAATGACACCAATACAATGCAAATATTTATACAACTGTATAACCTGTACTTCTATAGTACAGGGAATCTAAATAATACTAGTTCTACTGAAAAAATGTGGAACTACTTGTAGCTCACCACAACAACTTGGGCAGATCATTCCACGGCAGTGGTAGAATCATGCTAAGGGGTTTTTATTTTTTTTTAATCAGCAGGTACAAATTCCTAGTTGGAGCTTTTTTTAAGCTGACTGGTATTAAACAGAGCAACACTGGAAGAAAATCTTTAGAGGTTTGAAAAAGACCCAAGCATGGGGCAGAAGTTTGGCAACCGTAACCTTTATTATACAAAAAAGAATAGTGTAATTGTTTGTATAAAATGGTATTAATTGATAAGCCAAATCAAAGTACTATTCTAAATCTACCGTATTTTCACGACCATAAGGCGCACCGGACTAAAAGGCGCAGTCTCAGTTATGTGTGCCATTTCTGTATTTAACACACACATAAGGCGCACCGGACTATAGGGCGCGTTTTTTATATACAGGTACATGTCCTCTAAGGTAGAGTTTTCCCACTTAAAAACATATTAAAACTACTTTATTCCCACTGATCACAGCAAATAAAGCTGCAAGGTGTATTTATTACAAAGTATTATTCAAACCTGGGAACCGGCATGCTGATGACACAGGGCTGTGATTACTCCTCTGATACAGTTTATTGAGGCATAAATTAACTTAAAACATAAGCAGGATAATAATCTGGATGAACTGACTGCAATGATTAAATTTTCAGGTGGACTTTCTCACTTAAAAAGATTTAGATTATTTAGATGAAAAAACACCTGCGGAGGTGAGCCCGTATGCCCCGCGGCCCAGAGGCTGCTGTTGAATTAAGTTTTCAGGTAGAAAAATACAGCGGGAGCAAAACTGAGTATGATTGTGCTTTATTAATGTATTTATTACAGAGTATTAATCAAACCCA